AGTGAAGGCTGCCCCCTCCCTCACCCCAGATACAATCTAATTAGTGTTGTAGGTGCGTCAAAAACTCATCATGGGACCAGCATATGGGAGTAAGACCACTCACCAGATTTAAGCTTTCCATGACATCACCTGGTTGGCCAATACTCAAACCTGAAAGTACATTTAAATGAGGAAGTGAGCCAGCGATATTAACCTGGGACCCTAACAGCATGGGGTCTTCTCTATTACTTTCTTTCCTTTCGAAGAATGGCCCATCCTTCTCTGGAATGTATCTTTTCCAATAAATTGCCTTTTACTTTCACTTTCCTCCTGTTTCCTTTTCTTCTTGGCATGTCAGATGTCTTGGTGAGCCCACTTGCTACAAAAATGGCTTTTTCAAGGGCCACTAAAATTGTTAGTAGTACAGTGTGACACTTATGTATCTCAGACATCGCCCTGTCTAGTCTCACCCTATGTGGGTCAATTCTTCAGCTGGGTAAAGAAGACTGAAACAGGGCATCGAGCCCATAGTAACATTATAGTGCTGAAACCTGGGAGCCAATGTGTGTGTGTGTGTGTGTGTGTGTGTGTGTGTGTGTGTGTGTGTAAGGCCGTATCAGGTCAAGACCAGAGGATTCAGGCATTGCCAGTGTGTGTGTGTGTGTGTGTGTGTAAGGCTGAATCAGGTCAAGAGCAGAGGATTCAGGCATTGCCAATCACCCTGTTGTCTCTCATCCAGTTCAATTCTTTGTCTGGTAAAAGGAGACTAAAACTAGGGCTTTTACCTCACAGTAACTATCTCATTTGACCAGAGGCTGTGTGCTTGGTTTAGCCTTTACCAGCATCTGGTTTTGTGCTTTGTTGGAACCGTTAAGAAGAAGGAATTTTTTTTCGAAGTTGATGGTGAACATGTAACTCCCAGGGGTGTAACAGGATGGGAACCGAAGCAAGGTCAGGAGGCCCTGAAGAGGCAGGCTCTGACAGGTCACTGGAGGAACGAGGGAGGGTGAGGCTGGATCTGCCAGTACTTGGAGCAGCAGGAAGAATGAAGGGCCTGGATTGTGTTGGTAGCGGTGGGCCTGGGTGCTGGTGGGGCCCTGGATGGGAGGGTAGGTTCCTACAGAGAGTGTGAGGCAGCTCTACTGTGGGAATCTAGGGGTACAGTGACTCTCGCTGTGGAATCACACAGCTTTTAGACCCCTGAGGACTAGTGCCACCGGTGAGGGTGAGAGTTTCACTAAGACGGTAGTGTTGGAGCAGCCACTGGTGGTTTATGCATCCTAGGAGGTCGGGGTGGGCCAGTGCCACAGAGGAAGATGGGCAATCTCCTCCCATGTGATTTACAGTCTGAAAACCCTCTAGAAGGTCAGTTGAGTTTGTGTCCTAGTCTGAGCAGCCCTGGGGGCAGAAGAGCCCCACTTCCCTACAAAGGCACAGGTGTGTCAGTGGACCTGTGTGAATGACAGGAGGCCTGGAGGAACCTTGGGAATTGGTTCTGAGCAGGGAAGTCTGTGAGGGAGCTGTTGGAGGGGCGGTGGATTCTCTGGGAGATGGATTGTGGGGCATGACCCAGAAATAGGCTCAGGAGCCTCCAGGAGCCTGAAGTCTCAGCACTGGTAGACCTCCTGATCTTGTGTTTTGGGGTCATCTAGGGTAGACACAGACACTCCAGAACGGGAGATGGACCCTCAGGAACCATTTATGTCCAAGCAGTCACGAGATGATTTGGAATGGAGGAAAAATGCATGGAGAGTTAAGAAGAAACTCAACTCATTGCATTTGTGTCAGAAACAACTCAGATCTGACCTCCTGGCAAGTTTTCAGAGACTGTAAATCACATGAGAGGAGACTGCCTATCTTTCTTTCAAGGAGCAGCTGGTAGATTCAAACCTCTACACTTTATGTTGGCAGCACAGCTCTTTATCCACTAGGCCCTCAGAGCTCCTTGAGTCGAGGAGGACTGGAGAACCCTGGGGATCTTTTTAAAAGTAGAGAGCTGCACAGGAGGCAGGTCAGTGTGTGATCAGCGCATCAGAAGGGTCTGCTTGAGCAGAGAGGAGCATCCTGGGGAAGCAGAGTGTGGCAGCCAGCCGGGGGGGGGGAGGGGGCTGCTGCCAGACAGGAAAGATACCAGGAAAGGCAAGGATCCAGGTGACTTACCAAAAGGGCTTTGAGGGATGCTAGGAACAAAGGTCCTGGAACCAGTATGAGAAGCAAAGGAAGGAGGAACCTTGCTCAGGAAAGAGGGACACACAGGAGCAGTGCTTGCTAGGAAACAGGAATGGGTCTCCTAAGGATATGGGATGGGGTTGGGATGGACTTAGGCAGGTGCCAGTGTCCTTGGAAACTCACTGTGGCCAGTCTATCCCATAGACTAATCCGCTTCTGAATCACAGACTCTCCCAGGCTTTACTCATTCCCTCGGTCACAGGTACTGAGAACCCCCCTCCCCCATTCACCTTGACATTCTCAAGGGCCTGTGGGACAACAGGCATATTCTAAAGAGATAATGCACCTTGGGGAAGGTCTCTTTAAATCAGCTGTGTGGGTTAGGCTGGCGGCTGGGTTTTGAGGAAGGACCAAAGCTCCTGGACCCAGGGATTGGTACAGAGAAGGGATTTCTTCCCAGAAGTCCCAGAATCACCCCCACCCCAAGCTCCCTCTTCCAGTGGCGGTGGTGCTGTTCCCCCTTTCCTCTTGGCCACCTCCCCCACTGCCAGGTCTCAGCCATATCCTGAGACCAAGCTCAGCAGCAGCAGAGCACTTTATTGATGTTAGAACAGGGTCCTCAGATGTCTGTGCTGTGGGCGTGGCCTCTTTGGGCACCCAGCAGCCCTCACCCACCACCTGACGACTCATATCTGGTGTGCAAAACATAGGAGGCTGCTGTGTGCATGGGATCCCTGCATTCAGCGAGGGGCTGAGGCTTAAACATCAGCCATTTGGTCATTATGCCAAGAGACAGTACTGGACAGGCTGCTGGTCCCTCTTGACTCCTTGCCATCTGGCTTCTCAGGGCAGGGGGACAAGCCCCCACATCCGCATCGGCCACCGCCTACCCTGCTCAGAGACCGCCTTGAACCCAAGTCTCCTGTCTCGCCCCTACCTGGGGTGGAGGGGACGATGCTCAGCCTTTCAACACAAGTTCTGCTCCCTGCTGACCCTTGATTTCACCTGTGGCCTCCCCCTCTGTGAGAAGACAGCAGAGTTATTCCCCAGCCTTAGGGAAGCCCATGCACTTCAAGGTAGGACCCTTTGGGGTATGTGGCATCTGTTCTAAGCCGCCCCTCTTAAACATGCACTGTGAAATACCTGCTACAAAGCCTTGATACTGGGGGCATTTTTAACCTTTTAAAATTAGGCCAGGGGTGTGAAATGGCAATGACTTTTCAAACAGGCTAGGGAGCTCTGGTGGTTTGTTTCATAGGGAGTTGTGCTGCAAATCCCAAGGCAGGCAGTTCAAATTCACCAGCTGTTCTGAGGGGGAAAGAAGGGAAATTCTGTTCTGAGCAATTCAGAGTCTTGGAAAATCTGCTGGAGGGTGAGCTCTTGAGTTGGTTCTGACTTGGCAGTAATCAGTGTGTATGTGTCTGTCCAAACACACTACGTACTCATGGCCTAGTCAATGGGAACCACTGACTGAAAACACAACTCCATTATTAGCCCTAGAGTTGGCTCTTCTGGTTTCAGATGCTCCAGTTATGGTCTCTCTTCCCAAGTGTCCACGGGACCTAGCCTTCACTTCTCCACTGGTTCTAAACAGAACTACCCATGATCCCTTGGGAACTTGTTAAGTTTTGGATATTTCATACACAACTCACACACCTGGTTCCAAGGTTGAGAGGGTCAGAATTTGGTAACTTGTCACATCTATGTGTCTAGGTGGGCAATGTGAAGCAATGTTCCACTTTTAACTGATGGATGCCATCCTCCTTGAGGCCTTCGGAGCATCACAGATGTATCTGGGAGAGACTGACAAAGTGGACAGCGGTGCACATGGCTACTAGTTGGCTCTCAAGACTAATAATGTGAACTTTAAAAGCTGACAAAATCCCCAAGTCCTTTGATGATGTTCAAAGTTTCAAAGGGCAGGAGCCATCAGTTAAACAGACCATTAAGTTAAAAAGAAAAGGACTAACTAGACCCATGTAGGGAGCTCTGGTGGCCTAGTGGCAAGAAGCTGTGCTGCAATCCCAAAGGCACTCGGTTCGAGGCCAGCAGATGCTCCACAGGAAAAGGACGGGCAATCTCCTCCTGTGAGATTAACTGCTTCTGAAAAAGGGTCAGGTAGGACTCCACGGTACACCACAACAACAGATCCAATATAGCCCATTTTGGACTTTAGTATTTGAAGGATTTTAGGGAGAAATGTAGTTCTTTTTTACAATTATAGGCTAACGAGGGGCAGTTTGACAAAATAGAAATACTCATACCAATAAGTTATATCTCAAAATGACAAATAACAGCTCTCTAGACCTGGTTACTCCATATCCTAGCAAGAAGTGATGGACACAGGTACAATGAGCTATGTACAAGAGTGTAAACAGTAAGGCCCCAGGGGAAGTACTGAGGACTTCCGGCGCAGGGGCTGGGGTGTGCATGGTGGGGCCTGGGTAATGGGGGAGTGGACCCAGGGTTAAATACACCATGTTTGTCAGACGGGCATCTCATTTGCCATGGAAGCTTTCGGGCAGTTGTGGCAGGCCCACTGATCATCCAGTTGGCAGTAAGACGGACCAAGTTTTACTGGCAAGGAAGCCGGTCCCCTCCATCCCTGCTCACTAGGGGAGGTGCTGGGGACAGCCAGGCCTGGCCTCTGTGCACTTCGTTAAGAGGTGGGCTTTCCAGGACCCCAAGTGGGAGAGCTTGTCTTTCCAGGGTGAGGGCTGAGTGGTTGGGGAGTAAATGCCCCTACGGAGTTCACAGACACCCAAGTCCAGTCTTTCTAAAAGTGGGGCCCCACTCCAGATTCTAGGGATCACACACTGCAGCCATTTCATCCAGTTCCTGACTTCACCAGCGGCCCTAGCTCCGCCCCCAGCACATTCCCCGCCTTGCTCAGGGTCCCTTAAATATCAGTCTCTCGGAGGTTGCTGTAGTCCAAGTCACAGGCCTGGCAGGCAGTGCCCTCGGCCATGTCGTGCGGGACGCCCAGGGACACGGCCTCCACCTCGGTGCGCGGGGCACCCGCGGCCTCGGCGCGCTGCACTCCCCCGGAGCGGATCTTGTGCGACAGGCTGGACACCTTGGCCCGCAGCTGAGTGGTGGGTCCCCGGAGAGGCCCGAGCAGCCTCCATTCGCTGAGGCCACACGGAGGCTTCCATCCGTCCGGGGTGGTGGCCTGCGGCTCGGGCGTGCCCGGGGAGCCGGGGGCCGGGGGCGCGGCGAGGGCCAGCGGGGCCCCGGGGAGCTCGCAGCCCGGGCCGGGGTCGCAGTCGGACCGCGGGCCGCTGGTCGAGGCCCGCCAGTGGTGGCCGTAGACGCGCCAGAGCGGACGACGGCGCCGGCGCCGGCGGCACTGGCAGCGCAAGAGGCGCAGGAAGGCGCGCTTGAACTCGCGGCTGGAGCAGGGGTAGATGAGGGGGTTCACGCAGCTGTTGAAGTAGCCCAGCCAGAAGATCACCTTGAAGACGCCCTCCGAGGGCTTCAGCTGCGGGAACAGGGAACCTGGAGGGCCAGAGAGAGATGCTAGTTAGGCGCTCGGGCAGACCCAGGACGCAAGGGGGCTCTCCGCAGGCCGAGCCTTCAACCAGGAGCTCCACTGAGCTCCCCATAAGGGCGGCTGTTAAGTTTCATCAGGTTGGAACCCACCCACGCCTGACCGAGCCTCCTAGGGGTTTCCAGAGGCAGTAAATTGCCCAGTACTTTATGTAACACAAGGGGTTCAGGGTAAGCCAAGGTTCATAGGGTAGCTATGAGTCAGAGTTGACTTGAAGGCATGTGACCATGAATTAGGATGAGAAAAAGCGATCATGCTCATTTTTACTCATCTCCTGCAGCTGAGTCTTCACGTTTAGCTATGAGTGTGGGCAATAGAATCAGGCAAAGCATGAAATGGCCACTGTTGCAGGTGAACCCTGGTGCAGTTTCTTATGATTTGGCCCAACGTTAGCAGCTCCTTTTTCCTATCATCAAACTCAAACTCAGACTCCTTGCTGATGAGCTGGAACGCACTCATAGCTGACCCTCCAGGAGGTTTTCTTGGAGGATGTAAATCGCAAGGGAGGATATACACCCATCTTCTCTGGAGGAGCTATTGGTAGATTTGAACCATCGGCTTTGAGTTGACAGCACAGCTCCTTACCCACGAGACTATCATAGTTGTTGCAAACAGTTTGAAATCTCATCTCTACCCAGTCCACTGCCATCGACAGACTTTTTAGATGTCGTCAACTTGAGCATGACTCATAGCGACCCCACGAACAAAAGTTCTGAACCTTGTTCTATCCTGCGCCATCCTCACTTCCTGACACACAAGAGCCCGTTGCAGGAGTCACCATATCAATCCACCTGGTTGAAGGGCTTCCTCTCCTTCACCGACCCTCCACCCTTCCCAGTATCATGTCCCTTTCCAAGGAATAGCCCCTTCCAGCAACATGTCCAAAGTGTGTGCAGCGAAGCCTCATCATTCTTGCCTCCAAACAGCACTCCGGCTGCACCCTCTATAAGACATACGGCTATCTATGGGATGTTCAAAGCTCTTCTCCAACACCACAGCTCAAAGGCCTCAGTTCTTTTTCTGTCATCCTTACTCACTGTCTGGCTCTCAGATGCACAGCAACAACAACAACAACTAGTCCACTGCCATCGACAGACAAAGTGACTTCACAGGACAGACTAGAAGTTGCCCATAGGTTTCTAAGGCAGCCACTCTTTAAGGAAACAATCTTTAAGGAATCATCTGTCTCTGCTTGAGTTGCTGGTGACTGTAGTGAACAGTGCTGTCAACCCAAAGGCGGTGGTTTGAATCCACCAGCAGCTCACTGGGAAGACGACGGACAATCTCCTCCCGTGTGATGTAATCTCAGAAAACCTGCTGGGGGCCAATTCTAAGCTGGTTCTGGCTCAATGGCAATGGGCCATTAGGCTTTGAGAGCATTAGGTGTGCAGTCCAATGCTTAGTCCACAGTGCCACTAGGCCTCCCTACCATTGCTCCTCAGTATTCTGAAGATGCACTATATGTAACACTAAACCCAAATCTCATTTTAAAATATTTTTAAATTTCTCAATAAGATGAAAAATTTTGGGGAATGGGTACTGGTGATGGTGGTTCTATATGCTGAATGTAGCTAATGATGTTATGGGCCATCAAGTCGCCTGTGACTCACAGAGACTCTATGCACAGCAGCTCTGAAGCCTGCCCTATCCCCTTGCCCTAGTCACTGTATCAAGCCATCTCATCGGGGTCTTCCTCTCCTGCACGGTCCCTCCACCCTTCTGACCACGATGTCCTCCAAGGACTGGCCTCTTCTGGCCACATGCACAAAGTATGTGAAATGGAGCTTCAAAATCCTACGCCTAGAAATGGTTAAAGTGGTAAACTTTGTGCACTTGACCTTAACCAAAAGGCTGAGAAGTGATAAAATGGTAAACTCTCTGTTCTCTGTATCCATCTTTACATAACATGTAAAGCCTACTTTGACATTTCGCTGAAATGCACTTCATTTGCAGTCTTTCGCATTTGATTTCATAGGTTGGAAAGCATGACCGTGAGAAGGGATCTGGATCTCCCCAGGTGTCCAAGTGGTCTGCCTACAGCACAAAAAGGGTCAAGGACCGTTGGATGAAACCTGGATGAAAACTGTCGGCCAGGCTCCATGCTGGGCTCAGAGATCTGAGGCATACAAATGTGTCCCTAAGGGGCTCTGGTGGTGGAGTGGCACTAATTGCTTGTCTGCCAATTGAAAGGCCAGGAGTTCAAACCCGCCAGCTGCTCCAAAGGAGAATAATGTGGCAGTGTGTTCCTGTAAAGAGGAAAAGCTCTCACTGCCATCTAGTCGGAACTGACTCATAGTTGACTCATAAGAGAGTGCATCTTCAGAGGTTGCACACCACATATGAGGAGACTGCTCATCTTTCTCTTGTAGAACTGCTGGTGGACGTGAACTTCCAGAGAAGTGTTACTTTTGAGTTAGCACTTGTGAGTTCCACCAGGACTACCTCCTGTGGAGAGGAAACCCTTAGGGCTAGTTCTACTCTGTCCTATATGCTCACTATGAGTCAAAATTGACCTGATGGAAATTATTTATTGTTTTACACATGGCCTTGCTACTTAAGAAGTGAAGTGAATAAAATATTGTGGAAATGACTGGAGTCATGATGTCACTTGGTGTATGCATGTGAAGTGAGGGCAAAGGCTCAGCAAATCCTTCTGAGTCTTAAGGTTTGGACCAGGTCAACCTGGGTAGGGGCAGAGGACATTCCAAATGGAAGAGATGGGCACGAGTGTGAGACACCCGGGGCCTGGGAGCACCCTTGGGCAGAAACCCAGAAAGCTTCATTTGAGACAGGTGATGAAGGGCCTCACGTTTTACTTTGTTAGGAGCCCCGGGTATTTTTAAGCAGGCGAGATGGTGTTTGGAATGAAGAGATGGAGAGATGGAATGACGCTATAACACCCATGGGTTCCTGGAGCACAAGACCACGTGGCCGTCAGAGCGGAAGTGGCTGGGGAAGGCTTCTGGGATGGATGTGAGGGGACTCCAGGTGGGTGGGCAGGAGGCACTGAGGTCTGAGCTATGCCAGGATGATATTCCTGTCCACAAGCATCTCCCCTGGCACTCCCACCACAGATTGGAAAGAGTTTATTTCTACAAAAGATCTTTTTTTCAACAAAGCACCTTTATGTACAGACCGGAAGCAGAGGCCCCTCTTTTCTCATCACAGCAGCATCAGAGGTCCTCTGATCTGAGGAGGCCTTGGCAAACCAGGGGACCTGCTTTCTCTTCCCCTTGACCCCAAAGAAAGAAGAGCAGAGGCATCATGCCTTGCTTCATCTTGGGTCCGGGCACATCATTCATTTAGTCCCAACACCACCCCACATTACTATACTCTGGAGGAAGTGGAGGTCACGTGGTACCACACTCCTCAGGCCTTCAGTCCAAGTCACACAAATTTCTTACTTGACCACCTAGCTCTCCCTTTCCTTTTCTGTGAGATTGGGACACTATTTCTCCAGAGTAGATTTTGTGAAGGTTCATGTATTTTAAAGCCCTTCATACCCAATGCTTTCTTCTTTTCTCCTCCCACCCAAATTGTACGGCCCTTGAGAGAGGAGTCTTCAGGCCTGGGAATGGATCTGGTTCCCAGCCCTGGAGAGAGGCCAGATCCAGAAAGCCAGGGCTGGTGGGCTTGGGGGTGCTGTGGCTACAGTTAGGGAGATGGCTCCTCAGGGAGAGGGGCTAGACAGTTGTTCCTGGAATATAGGGCTACAGGTTGACCTCAGCCTCTGGAAAGGCGGCCCCCAAGAACAGCATCCCTCAATGGCTGCAATGAGAGGGCTGAAAATAACTGTCTGACTCAGGCTACAATTCTGTTATATTTAGCCCATGATGACAAATCCATAGACTATGCACTGATGGGGAGGCAAAGTTGGCCAAAGGGCATCGCTATTAGCACGATTTTAAGTGGAACTGGTAGGCACTGTGGCATATGCAGCATGGCCTGGGTCTTGCTGTAAACATGAATATTCTAATTTACGCTCAACCAACCTGTCCAGAAGCCTGCTGGGAATTCTTTACACACAAAGAAGCCAATATGCAAACTCAGTTTTTCAGCCCCAAGAATGTCTCATTGTAATGTGCTGAGGTTTTGCCCTACTTTGGGCTTCTCCAGAAGCTGACTCTCTCAAACACAAATTGTTCATGTGGGAGGTAAGTGAAACAGCAGGAGAGGAGTAAGAAAAATGGGGAAGAGCAGGAAGCCAGGGAAAGGTGTGCTACCGAGTATCCCTGGTGGCTCAGTGGTTTGGCAGTTGACTGCAACCCAAAAGGTTGGTTCTCTGAACCCAACAGTTGCTCCACTGGAGAAAGATGCTGCAGTTGCCTTCAGTAAGGATCTATGGCCCAAGAAACACTACAGGGTAAGTCTACTCCATTCTAGAAAGTCCCTGTGAGTCAGAATTGATTTGATGAGATGCAGGGTAGTTGGTTCCCAACTAGAAACGGAGAAATAGTAGAACCAGTTCCTTCTGGGAGTCTTCCTTAAACTGCTCCCTCCTGATCTAGCAGATTTGATTGATCTCCATTGTTGTTATGTCGCTGATATAGCGACCCTATGTACAACAGCTCTGAACTCTGTCCTGTCCTGAGTTAAACTCACTGACTCTGACACATCTACTCCCATTACCCCAGTTACTGTGTCAATCCATCTCATCTGGGGTCTTCCTGTCCTGTGTTTTCCCTCCACCCTTCCAAGCATCATGTCCCTCTCCAAGGACTGGTCCCTCCTGGCCACATGCCCAAGTATGTGAAACGGAATTTTAAAGTCCTTGCATCCGAGGAGAAACTTGGCTTCACCCTCTCCAAGACATCTATTTGTTCTCTTAGTAGTCCATGGTTTAAGACTCTTCTCCAGCACCACAACTCAAAGGCAGTGATTGTTCTGTCATCCTTAGTCATTGTCCAGCTCTCTGATGCATAACAAGTAATTGCAAAGACCATGGCTT